CGTTCGGGGAAAGGGTGCTCGCTTCCCTTTTCACTATCTGGCCCATACCACTTTGACCTGCCGTCGTATTGTTGTTATTCCCAGAGCAAGGCGTTTGACTATTCTGAGAAGCATTGCTCTGGAAATACTCTGCCCCTGGGCCACTACTGCCACTGCTATTTATGTCCTGCTCAACCTGACCTGCTTTGCGTTTGGCCTCATTTTGACTTTTCTTATTAAAAGTCACATTGAGGTTCGGGGCCCCAAGGCTAGCGATCATATTCTGGCAGGCCGTGGAGAGAGCTGCCAGACAGCTTTGGCCAAACACACTGTCTTTTGTATTGGCTTTGTTCAAATTCCCCAAAGAGAGGGCCCCAAGCTTATTGACTGACAGGTGCTGGCTGGAGAGGTACTCGGGATGGGTGGGATAGTTCCCTGGAGGATTGCTCTGGGGGGCTCCCTGTTGACTCGGTCCTCCAGGAGGGAAGCTGTGCTGCCTCCTCATCGCCATTCCTCCGAATTCAGCTGGCATCCGGTCCGTGGGTCCGCCTGACTGCATGTTGCTCTCATCGGGAGACTGCATCTGCAGAGGATTGCTGACATTATTTTCGAACAGATGATGCGCTCCCGGAGAATGCAAAGACTGCATGTCCATGCTTGTGATGCCTTGCCTAAAAATAATGTTGTGTCCATTCTCTGCGTGCTCCAAGGCATGCGTGTTTGTTTCTCTACAATGCTGCTGCGGCTCAGGAAACCATGAGTTTTCTTGAGGTAGGTGGGGGCTGTCAAAGTTTCCGTGAAAATTATGCTTCTTCTCAAAACTGGACTGAGACACACTACCCAGAGGGCCTCGGCAGACCATGCCGTTTGGTGTGGCGTCCCCGTGGAGACTTAACTGTTGCAGGTCGGGTTGTCTCATTCTCTGCTGCTGGCTCCTCGATGCCATTTGTTTGATCATCATCGCCGCGTTCTGCCGCCGCTGCTGATGCTGCTGCTGTTGTTGCTGTGGGCCGGAGCTCAAGGGTAGGGGGCCTGATGGAAACCCATCCGTCACATGAGATGCAAAGTCCCCCATGGGAGAGGGGAAAGCTGAGGGGGAGAGGTGGTTCTCAAGATTGGGCCGATTATGTAAGCTATTGCTTAGGGGGCTGCAGCTCTCTCCAGCAGAGCCGTTTGGGAGATCAAACCGTGGCCTTTTTGCCATATTCAAATAAGGCAGTGAGCTGAGGTGAGGGTGATGTGGAGGCTGAGGGGCTAGCTGGGGGACATCAAACACCGGTTCCCCGAAGGGATGCATGTTATGGTTGTTCAGTCTATGTACGGGCCGGTCCAGGTGGCCGTGCTGAACATGGACCATAGGGCCGCCACCTTGAACGTCCGTATTGTTCGCTACATAGTCCGGAGTGTGATAAAACCGCGGAAGCGCAGGGGAACCGGGGTTCTGCCTGGCAACGGGTCCTGGTCTTTGCTGCGGCATGAGGTGGTGTCTAGCGTTAACCTCCGGATCCATTTTCCCCCGGTTCCCGAATCGGTCCGAAAACACATTCTGCTGAGGTAGCTGCTGGTCGACTTTAGAGCCGCCCATCATGGGCCCTTGGGAGCCACTTCGATTACAAGTGGAAAAATGACCCCCGACCACTTGGTTCCCCGTTTCACAATAGGGCAGTTTGTGCTCTGAAGAGTCCGCGGTGGAGAATCCTGTCATATCGAAATTCCCCGTCAGAGGATCACAGGGAAAACAGTGCTCTGATCCCCCCATCCTGCCCTGTGGGAAAAGCCTGTAATGTTCCAGTCTGTGTGTTTCAGGGGACGAGGACGGCAGGCCGTGGAACGACGCGGCGCGGTTTGGTGACTGGTCTAGTGGAAGACACGGCGCTGGAACGGCGTGGTTACCATTCGGATGGCCGTGCGGTTGAAATTCAGGCATTGTGGCCATTCTCTGTTGCTGCTGCTGCTGCGAGATGCATTCTCGCGACTGCGCCTCTACGAGCTGCTGACCAAATCCTCCTTCAAACATATGCGGGTGACCTGCGTTGTTGTTATTGAAGCCCAGGTGTCTGTCCCCGTGCAGGCAAGAGGGGATGCTGTCCTGGTACAGATGTGAATGCTGGTCGTGGTTAGGAGGTTGATGGTTGAACGGTCCTTGCATGTGGAGTTGATGTTGTGGCTGAACTCCCATAGCGAGCATATCCCCATGGCCATGAGTCTGGAATCCATACTGGTCTCTATTTGAGACAAAGTTGAGTCCCTGCATGGGGGATTCATTTAGAGGACCCATCATCGGCTCCACAGCTACCGACGGCCCTTTCATATGAAATCCGGAACTGTTATAATTAGAGTTCATTTTCAGTCCACTAGGATTAAATTCCTTTTGTTTGTTTGTCACTGCAAATAAAAAGACAACTGAATCAATCAATGCTTTTTTTTTTTTGTACTTTCAAATAATTTTTTTGCTTTTGTCTCTCTCAGGGGCCCATGTTAGCAATCGGTTTAAAATGTAAATATTATATATTATCAATAACATCTTAATAAAAATAAATAAATAAAGTTTACGTTTCGCATGCATGTGCTTATTGATAAATATTTAATGATGCGAAAGTAAGAGATCAGATGACAATTGGAAGTACCTCAATTCCAGCATAAGCGTAAAAACGCGAACTCCTCTTTGTATGTCCTTAGAGCAACGACCCTGAAAAATGCACATCTTAAAAAAAAACTCAGTTTACATCATTATTCGATGCGTAACGTCTCCAAGTCGCTCAACACAAATCCAGAGGAGTGCAAACCAGCGCGCGGAGCACATGTCCCATGTTCACATCTCCAATGTAATGCGCGCGATCCAGACTAATTATTCTATATTAAAAACACTTACATGAATTCAAAAAGAGTCGATAAATGCATTAAATCGACGGTCCTCTGAGGAGAACTTCGAGCGTGCGTTCAGTCCTGTGAGGAGACTCGATGCACCGCTGTGGGTGCGCGCTGTTAGTAACTGGAGAGCCCTGGATCTCTTTTGTTGTCACAGTATGAAATGTATTCATCACAAAAATTAATCGCCATTTTCTTTAATATCGTCCATAAGATACGCGCTGTGCCATCAAATGCTTCTGTCTCCAGGAGGGTTTTCTCGTTTCGAGCCGCGGGCATCGGCAACAAGTTTGACATTCCCTCATCTGCCCCAGCGCTGATTTCTCACCAATGCAGACACAGGCACACATGCGCAGGGGGCGGGGTCTGACGCACAAGGGGCGGGGCTTCGCTTAAGGAAGTCTAAAAGAGATGTAGCATATATAACGTATTAATATATAAGGGATAAATAATAAAACAATGTGTTCAGTGATACTCTATTTTACGAATAGAGCTAGATTTCTTTACACTTCAGTGCATATTTTTATTTTTACAAGGTGTACGATCAATAACACAATTTAAATTATTTCATCATTTGGTATTAAAATTCTGTACATATAAAATGGTAGATATAGATTTCGTTTTTACACTGGGATTAATTTTTCTCCCCACAATTTGCATATTATACAAATGCGTACATAGAAATATTATAAAAATACACCCACATATGCTCGATGGTATTTAATTGTTCTACGTGTGAAATACTAGATCTCTTATTTATATACATATAAGCAATTTACGTTTAAATGCAGTATGGTATAAACACAAATCAGTGTAAACCTTCAGTCACTCCCAAATCCTTCATATGTAAAACAGCTATATTCCTTTATACACAGCTACTGTAGTAAATATGCAGCAGTTAATTAGTAAATTAGCAGATGCATGAAACTCAAGATGCATTTCAAGCTGTGAAGAATGGCAGCCAGAGATAATGAATGTGTCTTCAGGGTTAATTTCCTGTAAGTAACCGGTGATTGTGTTGTGTTTTTAGAACTCACTGCTGCAGCATGGGTCATATTATTTATCTTTACAACAAAAGTTTTTTAATTAATAGTGATTACAAAATTGTAGAAATAAAATCCCTTATACTACAACCTAGACTGTGTCCTGCAAACCCACTACGGAATGATACAACCATTAGGCCACTGAAAGGTTTTATGCTGAAATATAAGTGGCCATTTATTGATAGGTATGACTGAAGAAATTAAATTAATAAAAGGATAATAAATGGAAAGTCATAAGACTTATTTTGTAGGTCCCTCTGGTCTTTATAAGAAATCGTTACCTGTTTCTTTGGCAAAGCGGAACAGTGCCATCTACTGCTGCTGTCAGGAACAAACACTGATGAGAACTAGGGAGAAATTCACATTAGACATTTCTGACCACAAATTACAGATACAGAAATAAAATAAAGCATTTAAGATCCTAACACCTTTAGACTAATGCTTTATTATTATTGAATTAGGTTATTTAATCCTAAAATTACCTTATAGATTTCGATGATTTTCCAGATCTAAATACTTACAGGTGTGCTTACAGGTTTTCCGTCGACTTGAATCTTAAAGGTAACATTAATTAAAGCATGCAAAACCACAGTGAAAATAAAACTCTAAATAAAAGACCAAGCATGACCGGTGTCGAAATTTATTAGATATACTGTTAATTGTTAAATTTATAACCAATTCAAAAGCTGCAGGGGAAAAAAAACAAACAAAAAAAAAACATTAGAAATCACACCATTGTACATTCACTGATATTTCCCCTGATTTTCAAACAAACAATCAGAAAAAGACAGAAAAACAGCACTGTGTAATTCCCCAAGAAAGAAAGAAAAAATAGATTCTCCGAATGCGCAGTTATGCTTCGATTACAATGATTCATTCATTATATCTGAAACCCTTGCCCATCTCAGTCCCCGCTAGCCTAAAAGCCATGTACGTGTACAAAAGTAAACCACACGATCCGTGAGACTCGAGACAGTATGTCAGAACAGACGTCAGTGCACTGATTGCTCAATTATGATCTAGAGAACATACAAAAAAAAAATAAAAAGCTAAAGTCAAAACCTGACATCCTCCCATCCGGATCTTAGAAGAGGAACACAGGTACGTGACAACGTCGCCTTGATTGCCATAAAGGTGCCGCTGAGGCCGAACCTGACGGGTTGCATGATTGCGTGAACATTCGTGGACCTTGAAATGAGAGGGACGTTAAGAAACAAAACACGCAAACCGAGAAGAACCGTGTTGTACTCCACATTCAGGCTTGAAAACGATCACAAATGTGCAATTCTAACTAGACAATCACAGTGCGACAGGATCGCAGTTTCAATGCAGACATCAGGCACTGGTTTGCATGCGACTACGCAAACTCCGGCCGTCAGCGGTCCATGAAAGCCCGACTATTAAAACTAATGCACTGGCCACAATATATGATAAAAATCCGATCGGTTTCCTCTCGACAGGGGCTGAGAACCGTACACGTTAAAAACCTGTTAATAATAAACAATGAGATAAAACAGCCCTGCACTGCGGGGTCAAGTGCAAACAGCAGAGACTCTTTTTTTGCAAGGCTGGATAATCGGAGCTGGTGCAGGACGGCCAGAGACGAGGAGGACTGCGAATCTGACCTGGTACGATATAGAAACTATACAAATATCAAGCTCTTTAAAATGTGTTTATAAAGTTCTCTTTATCCTAAGCGCCTGTTGAGGCCTCTACGCACACATTCAGGTGCAGAGCTCAGGGTTCCCACACGTTCTGATCAATCATTTTGCAGATAATGCAATATTCACTATATAAATATATCAATTATGATTTCATTAAAGAAAGGTTTTGGGGACAGAATGTAAATTGTAGAAAATATCAGATTGTCCGTTTTTGTTAAAAAGCAAAATAATGCAGGGCTGGTCAATAGATTCAAGTGCACACTAAAACCACGAGACTTGTGCACTAGAATCTCTTACTGCCTGTGCCTGTGTAGTGACACCGAATTTAAATCTGTTGTCATGACAACACTAGTAACATTTGCATAATATGCGCAAGGATTCCAGAAAGGAGTCAGTAACCAGAGATTGATCCACCGGGAAAAGTAGTTACACCTCAGAAATGGCCATTTAGATTTACAACTTTATAGATCAAATACAAGAATCATCACACTTCAGCTTTTAAACGTCAACGTGGTACACGTGCATTGCAACTTTGATAGTGAAATGACGATTTTTGCTTTTTTTTTTTTTATTTTATTATAATTTAATGAGGGGAAACTGCTTTATGTATGCACACTTGTAATGAACTGAGACTTTTCCGGGCCTGGAAATCACAATTTTTCCCTGATATCTCCAGGATTTTCCAAGACCGTGGGAACCCCGAGAGCGTTACAGGTAGATTAGCAATATAAAAGCACTTTGCCTGTCCTAAAGCGACTCGAAAAATAAGAAAGCAGCAGAAGCAGTGGCGATTTGCTCTGGTAATTAGTCTGGATTTTGGTGAGGAGAACCTGAAGAGTCCTGAGGGGTTACGTCACGCGAAGTGTCTTAAGAACATGCCTGAGCTCATGCAAAAGCCACTCGCGGCAGAGGTTTTGCGAGGTGGACGTGTGTTTTTACACAAAGGTGCATGCCGTGCAGTAGCATCACAAATTTTACTTAGAAAGGCAGGACTACACTGATACGAAATGACAATCTACTAATTAAAACGTGATTAGGATTTTAAAGGAACCAAAAGAAGTGCTTCATCTGGGTGAAAGACTAAACACAGACAAGAAAATAAAGATCTGAACCATTACAAACAGATAAAACCAAACAAAAACAAAGAATTGGTCCGATGCCTGCCAAAATGAAGTCGTTTTGTTTCTGAAATCGAATAACACAACCATACAGCAATACTCTGATGTTTCTAACAAAGTGGAAAAAGTCACAGGATCAACCTGCGTGAATCTAAAAGCAGGTCGAGTGTGATGCGTGTCCACCCTGTCGGCAGGTGTGTGAGTACAGTACTACGGATCACTGTGTCATTCTGCGGTCTGCTGGTGGAGGAGGACGGCGCCGCCACTGGCCAGTTTGGTTGGATGCGGTGATGTCTTTCGTCAAGCGTCATCGTGGTTGGATTCTTGAAGTTTAGCCTCATTGTTCGTGAGCAGCACTGGTGCCTCGAACCTGACCAGTTTTACGAAGCTATGAGAATGGGAGAAGAAAACAGTAAGAACATGGGGAAAAAAACATCATTCGAGCAGCTTTTTCAATGCATGTTTGAAGCTAGCTGAATCGTTCCACATTTTTGTCCTAACCAGGTATGAAATGATGAAGTGACCTATCGTGTGACGATCTCTACAATGCTAATTCAAGTTTTGGTGCATTTAGTTGGTTGCTTGGTTTCAACTGGTTGCATATAACATCATATATTCTTAAGAAAATGCATGGTGTTTGTCTACAGTGGTGTTAATGTTAACTAAAATGAAAACTATTCAAAATCATTTGTGCTATTTGAAGCATAGCCGAAATAAAATAAAATGCAAATATTAGATTAAAAACTTAATCATAAATGGGAAATGTTGGTAACACTGTACAATAAGGTCTTTTTTTTTTTAAACTTGTTTACTCATCAGAAATGTATAGAGCTTTTATTATTTTGTTAATGTTAAAAATGCAATTCATTGTTCAGGTTAGTTCACAGTGCATTAATGCTAACAGATACAATTTTTGATTAAAAAATATTTTGTGTGTGTGTGTGTTTCTGTGTGTTTAAATTAACATAAAAAAAAAGGAAGCTGTATAAGTAATGTTAACAATTGAAACGTTATTGTAAAGTGTTACCAAAATGTTGCCTTGGCAACTAATAAAATAAGTACTAAATTATTAATGATTAATAAATATTAATAAAACTAAGACTGAAATAAAATAAATGTACACAAAATATTAAACATTAAATAAATATAAAAAAATAAACTAATAAAAACGCCAGAAGCAAATAACAATTTAAAAATTTGAATTAAATTCAAATAATAAATAATACAACAGAATATAAATAATACTAAAATAACACTGGGTTACTAAGGGTATCACATTTCTAGGTGGTTTCTTACGGACTCAAGTCAAAAGAGTTCACCCTCAAGTCTCTAGATAGTATGTCAGATTTATTACACCCGATTTTCATCTACAAAATGAAAATTATAAGTCTGATTAATTAGAAACAAGATGCAAGATGATTTGAGGAATCACAGACAATGAGGGGCGATTTACATATTCAAGTTTAATACTTAGGTTATGGGTTTGTTTGAATCAAGTATGACTAACAGTAATAGCGCCTTAAACGTCACTAATTAGTTCTGATCGGCTGGATTTTGTCGCATCACTGCAGCATTAAGTTTTCATCATGCCTGGTTAGGACACCGTGTGAATTGAAGAAACGCCAGGCAGTTTTTTCACACTCACACGTGTACAAACGCACACTCACTCAAATCAAAGAGAGCAGAAACACACGCTCACATGCGCAGAGTACAAACACACTCTGGAAAAATCAACAAACACAAAAAGCGGTGATTAGAAACCAACACAGTGTAGAGAAGCAGCAATGGGGCGATGAGGAGAAATGAGAAATGAAGGAGGGGAAAAAAAAAAAAAAACAAGATTGGGCAGAGACGCTTGGAAAGAGCGGCCGAGGAGAGTCTCATCTCTTCCAGATCGTTTTATAGCAGAGCCAAACGCAGAGGGAGGGAGAATAACACAAATATGAAGCGGCTGTGCTCCGTTCTGACTCTCAACAGACGCTGAATTTCTCTCTCGAGGCGAAAGTCTATAAAATCAACTTCATAACTGCCTTACAGACGCTGCAAGATCAACAAGATTCGAGCAGACAAAAACCACATGACCAATACGAAAATAAAGGAATATTTCACCCAGAAATTAAAGTTTTGTCATCTTTTGTTGTTCCAAACCTGCAGGAGTTTCTTTCTTCTGTGGAACACCAAAGAAAGGTTTAGCAGAACGTTCAGGATGCTCGTTTGAAAGTATATAATGGCTGTCAAACTCACAAAAACTCTATAATAGTAGTCCATACAACTCTTGCACTATATTACAATTCATAAAGTCAAATGATACCTGTTATGTCATGAAAAAACATTGTCTGAAACATTTCCTACATGCAAATATAAAAGAAAATATTTTTTTTGTATGGGAAGTTTTAAGAAGATTTAACAGTTTTTTTAACCACGAAAAAAAAAAGCAAACTTTTTTTTTTGTATTGTGACATGTTCATAACAATGAAACATTATAACCAAGTTCCACAACAGCAATGCAAAATTTAAATGATATACATTTATTTTTAATGGGAATCAAACTACATTTAAGAAAGTTTTAAGATTTAAGAACGTTTGTTTGTTTTGCATTTTGAAATTTTCCTAAGAATGAAACATTATAAAGTTTCAAACCTGCAATGCAATGCAATGATAAAAAAAAATAAAAATAACTATCTTATGGTTTCAGAAGACTTAAAATACAGCACATAAGTCATATAAACTATTTTTATGATGCTTTTTCACAGCTTGATAGCCTGTGGCCACTGTATGCTTTTATTGTATGGAAAAAAAAGTGTGGAGATTCTTCAAAAACATCTCCATGGAAGTCAGTCAGTCATACGGGTTTGGAACGACATGATGGCATTTTATGTTTGTATGCACTAACCCTTCAGGACGAGAATACTGGAAAAGAAAAAGATGGCCATTGCAGCTGCTCCTGTAAACATCGCAACCTGCCTCCATTTAGAGAGATCAACAACTCGACAGAAGAACGCTGCTTTTGGAAGCTACAGGTATTGGCCACCACACTTGCTTTAAACATCAAGAACGCCTCACAAAAACCCTCTTTTACCTTTCAACTGGAGTCTAAAACCATTAGAACTTACAGATGAGGCTTTTTCAAGGAGCTGCAAACACCTGCTTTCAATTTGCGCCGTTGAGGCACTATTTTCCTCTGGCCTGAGCGAACGCTATTGGGTGGTTCAGCCAAGAGTTTGTCTGAAATGACTAACACTTTAACTCGGGTTACATTCGTCCACCCGTCAGCTGAGAGGAGAACACCAGAAGAAAAGTTAGTTGTGGTTAGCTGAAATGGAGGCAGTGAAGTGATGGGTTAATGGGTGGCGGCGGATGAAAAGAACGTGAGAAAGAATGCGCGACGGAGCGGCCGCCTTTCCTCCCGCACCACTTACGGAGTATCTCCACCTGCCTCGTGTTACTAAAAAGGATTCGGCTAATCTTCAGCTGCTGTCGTGCCTCGTACGGACCCCTTTTGACGCATCTAGAAACAAAACATGCCGTTAGGTGCAATCTTACCACTTGCTGATGTCCAGCTGGAAGGAACATCAAAATAGCCAATAACACAACATGAAAAGCATATTTCAATGAATCTCAGGTAGAAATAGCCAAGTCATTTTTTATAGGAATCAACCTACCTTGGCAAGGAATGTTTATTTATATAGCACATTTCAAAGACAATGGTAATACAAGGTTGTTTACATAAAAAGGAATTAAAATAATCATAAAATGACCACAACAGATGCATAAGAAATACAATCAAAAATTATTTTTATTTTTTAAAATTATTAAAAATGAAAAAAAAAAGTTAACTTTTTTTTAGTACGGTCAAACGATTAATCGCATCCAAAATAAAAGTTTTTGTTTACATAATGTGTGTGTACTGTGTACATTCATTATGTATATATAAATACACACACATACAGCATATATTTTAAAAATATTTACATTCATATAATTTATATTATATATAAATATATTTAAAATATAAACATATTTTTCTTAAATATATACATGCATGTGTGTGTATTTATATATACATAATGAATGTACACAGTACACACACATTATGTAAACAAAAACTTTTATTTTGGATGCGATTAATCGTTTGACAGCACTAGTTTTTTTATTTTAGTTTTTTTATTTATGTAATAAAGTAATCAATTTAACCACATTATTATATTTCTTAAAATATTATATTTATTCAACTATACTTAAAAATAATTTTGAAATTGCAATCAACTAATTTAAAAACTTTATTTCAGTACAACCTTGATATGGACTTAAAATTGTAACTTACTGAAAAATCTTAACATTTAAATTATTTTTATTTTTTTATATTTTATATATTACTTTAAAATAGTTTAAAAATAAAAAAGTGAATTAGATTAATTATTCCCATTACAAGCTATTGATTATAGGGGAATGCCCCATATTTGCATTTTTGGGGGAATTTTTTTATTATTTTTTTTTTAATATATTTTGTATTTTATTTTAAAATAGTTTAAATATATATACATGAATTAGATTATTTATTCCCATTAAAAGCTATTGATTAAAACCAGGCTTTCTTTTCTTTATTTTCGGGAGAAATATGATGCATTTATAACTGCTTTTTTGAGAGTCACCCATTTAACAGTTGACTGTCAGCAAAGAGGCAATGAATGGGTTAACGTTGACATAATCCTCACTGGAAACATATTCAACATCATTTCCATAAAAGAGGTTTTGAAAAAATATATACCCTGGAAGGTTTCTGTAAAGCACGGCAAAGCCAAAGTAAAGTTAATTCGTCAAATATTAATCCAAATACATACTTTCTGCTTGGCAACTGGATAGTAGCGGTGTAAAAAAACGGTTTAATATAAAGTTTTACTACATATACTGCTTGTTTTATTAATGCCAGCCTTTACAACTGAAGGCAATTACAGATGAACTGGTTAGGAGAAAGATAGAACTCGTAACGTGACTGATGGGTTGACGGTTAAGGAATCACTTTATTGGTCTTGGCAAACCGTCGCTTAAGAATAAAACTAATAAGCGACTACGCCTTCGGGATTTGGATGAGAATGTACTGATCGATATTTCCCAGGCAGTGAGGAGTTTGTGGTTTTCCTTGGCTGCATGCTGAAAGCGATCACAGAGCGTGTCAGAGTTTGGAGAGACTGCGTGCCGTTGGATCGTCATATTTACTGGGTAGAGGAAAGAATCTGGGCCAAATACTATACACTTGAGCTGGGACGCGTTCAACAAAAACACACAACTGAAAATAGAGAATATGAGCACGCTGCCAACGGTGACCAGCGGGAAAAAAACCCAATATAGCTCAAATCTGTAACCCCTTCAATAACGTCCAGAAGCCGGATTACATTCAGCGACTACTATTTTACGTCTACAGTCAAATAATGACCCCTGGTGCTAATATCACAGGTACTAACGTTTTATTCTGCTTATAAACGCCTATATTACGCTGTAAAATCTGTCCAGATGTACACTGTAGGCTGATGATGTACAGACTGTAAATGTATATTATGAATACAGTGCTTCTCAATAGCACACTGACCCGCTGCTATTTTATATTTTAACTGTAGACTAAATTTCATGACAAGAGACTAAATAAAACTAAAGCTTTCTTCATGATTTCTTTATCAAAAGTTGCACACAATAGCGATAGCATTCAACTAGTGTTCTCAATTTCAAATGGAAATGAATCAACTATTTTAGCCTCAATCATTTGGACACCTCACTTGTTATCTTTATATTGAATAGACTTAATCCAGAGTTATCTAAACTAAAACCTTTTTTTTTTTTAAATCTCTCTTTAAAATAAAATTTACGTTAACGGAATTAAAATAAGGTAAAGGTTTTTTTTTTCATGTTTTTATTTCAGCTAGTTACCAAAGCAACATTTCTCATTTTCTTGTAGTTTACCTTGAAGTAATATTTTAAAAATAATTTATAAAAAAAATTCAAATAAAAAAATTAATACAAATTAATAAAAACCTACATAGACATATTAAAATAATAAAAATTAGTAACAAAATTACTACAATTTTAACAAATTAAAGTGAAACAGAAATTATAAAAATAAAATTTAAATTGAAAATATTTCCAAAACCTATAATAGTATATCACTGATACTAAGACAACACTGTCGGGAACTAAAATTTAATCATAAATTGAATTAAAATGAGTGTGAATGATTTGGACAACTCGCTTGCTGAATCAGTTGGAATGACAATGACATTTGCTCAATGAACCTAATTCAGCTATTTGTGGCAAGTCATTTTCAAAATGAGCTGTAATTTTATTTGAAAGCAATTTTAAACTAGTTTGTGACATTTAAATCAGCCTAATTATTATTTTTTAGAAATGATAGCAATTCCATATTCTGATACTAAAGGCACAGAAATTAATCCTTTGACCTCTAAAACCCATTCATGAATGGACCAAAAAAAAAAAAAAACAGTGGAAAGAACAGAGTTTCATGATCTGGACTGCTGGGAATAAGGAGGTCTGCCAAGGATGGGTGGGAACAAATGAAATTGAGGAAAATATTCATGCTTCAGACCATAATTCTGTGCAAATGTCATTCTCACCTCCTCCAGTTCTCGCTGCGTCTCCTCCTCCATCCGGCGGATGTCCGCCATGGTGAGCTCCACCCAGCTGTCAATCCAACAGAAGAGCTGACGGTGGAAGTTGGTGAAAATTCTCTTCTCTTGCTGCAAACGCAGAAAAAATACAGTCCGTTACTGCAAAGCATTGTGAGATGGGAAAAAAACATCTCAAACCTCATTGAAATTTTAGAGGCATTACTTGAGGTTTGATGTCAATGAAGAGACACAGGAAATGTTTTATATCACTAGCATCAAATATGGCACAACACGCCTCGAAATTGTACATGTAATGTAATGTAGTGTAGTGTAATATGCACAAGTTTTTTAGACCATGGAACTTTTTTGTAATTTTTGGAGCATGACAGCATCACACGGGCGTGAAAAGGGGCACTTTGGACTGCTAAATATCTCTTTTTGTGTCCTGTATGTAGTGTTGTCAAAAGACCCGGTACTTCGGTACCAAGTCGGTACTAAAAAAATGAAAACGTTATGGTACCAGGTTTTTTTAAGTACCAGTGGTACCAAGTACCCGGTCCTTGATGTGCTATCCGAAAGGTGCGCAGATGCGCTCTTCATAAAAGCACTGAGACATGGCGACCTCAAAATTAGGAAACACATTAAACTAACAAAACATTTTAAAGACAGACACCCGGATCAAATGAAAGAGTTCAAGCAGGTAAGTTTCATTTTAATTTTTTAATATTTAGATCTTCTCAGTGTTTCCCATACATTGATTTATTTGTGCCAGCCCACCAAAATATCAAAACTGACCGCCACAAATAGATTTTCCAAAAGGCTTTGACTTCGTTGAATAAACGTGTCAAAGTCGAAACCCAGTGCGGGTGTTTTTATATCACTGTATTTCTGAAGGAAGCTGACTGTCTTCAGAAAATTATGGATGTCATTTTCATTTCGTCTTGCCTGTAATGCCTGAGCAGCTTTGATTACAGCCGTTACCGGGGAAATCGAGGAAATCTCTCCCGCTCTACAAGCGCCTCCTGCTGGCAGAGAATGAATTTGCATATATATGCCGCCACAAATAGAGTGCAAGTCTGTGGGAAACACCGCTTCTGTTATTAATATTATTCAATATTTTAATTTGAATGTCGGATTGAAATGAACGCTATTATTAGATTAGTTAAAGGGATAGTTCATACAAAAATGACAATTCTGTCATCATTTACTCACCCTCATGTCGTTCCAAACCTGTATGAGTTGCTTTCTTATGCTGAACACAAAAGAAGATATTTTGAAGACAGTTGGTGGTTGCCATTGACTTCCATAGTATTTTTTTTTCCTACTATGGAAGTCAATGGCAACCACCAACTGTTTGATTACCAGCAATCTTCAAAATATCTTCTTTTATGTTCAACATAAGAAAGCAACTCATACAGGTTTGGAACGACATGAGGGTGAGTAAATGATGACAGAATTTTCAT